GAGAGAGAGAGAGAGAGAGAGAGAGAACAACAGGCTTAGAGACTCTAATGTTGCAGAAAGCAAAATTTTCCTCGTTTCCATTACATCATCCAAGTTGGAGACAGGGAGGGTGGAGTGGGGGCACAGCTGGTGGCAGCTGCACCACCATCTGCTTTCTCCTTAGCAGTGTGTGCTAGTTTGAGTTGCAGCCTCCTACGGCTCGTGATAGAGGAGGCACAGTATTAAAGGTACAACCGCCTATTATGAAAAGCTTTCAAATTATTTAGAAATAAATCACTCTTGTGATAAGTTAACCTCAGGTAGGTTGCTAAGCCAGTTCTCTTTGAGTTTAGGTTGTTTGCATCTCTTTAGACTCAGCTATAGTGCAAACTCTGTCAACTCAATGTGCTCAATTAGACAAGCAGAATATACAAGCAACCACCTGCCATCTGCTTCCCAAAAGGTAAGCAGCCAAAAAAGCATTAACAGAAGGACTGGGGAATGCCCAACCCTAGCAGGCCAGCTCCAGGGTTTGGTATCCTAAGCCATCTGGTCAACCAGTCTTGTCCTCTTGGACACTCCTGGGGTTTCCTTCAGAACACACTGCCTGGCATCCCTTCTAGAAGAGGAGATGGGTGAGAATAGCCTGGGGAGAGGGGTTAATGCCCTGTCTGCCATTCAACTGCAAACCGGCAATGAAGCTGCAAACAGGTGGTTCAAGGGTCTGATTAAGCCATACACATATTTTTTATCTAGTCTATACAGGGTTATGTTAAAAAGAAGAGTGCTGACTTTTCAAAATGAGTTTTCCTATATAAATATCTAGATTGCTAGCTCTTCCTGGAAAAAAACAAATTAAGCTATATGGCATCAGCAGGCCCGTTTCAGTTATCTGGAGGTAAGTGGCTGCACTTTCTTCCATTAGGAATGCGTTCTGAAGAACAAGTCCCCACCCTGGTGTCTCAAATACCATTGCATCCATCTATGTTCCACCTGGACCTAGAGAGCTTTTGATATAATGTCACTGAGCATGGAGAGGGAGAAGAAACCCCCAGGGAATGATTTCCCAACGGTCCTTTACTGATTCTCCTCTTAAGGTGAGATTTAGTCCCTTGGATGGCCAACTAAAATTCTGCCAAGATCATTCAACACGACATAATGAACAGATCTGAGTAGAAGGCTAGCTGCAATGACCCTTCAATACAAAAGCAGGTTGCAGCGTTTCAGAGAGGCATTCCAGACCACTTACCATACATCTTGCCTTCGTCTGATAAGATGATTTTCCTCCTCCCACAGGGTGGATAGATAGCCAAGGCTTCCTGAAAGCTCTGCTCAATGTCAGGACTCCAGACCCCTTCCGCATCGTTGTCAATTGGCTTATCTGCGGAGTCACTCATCCTTTCCATGTTTTCGGCAGGGCTCTCGCTGCCGCTCCAGCTGCTGGGCTCAATTTTGGCGGTTGGGTTTTCCAAGCCGAAGCCTGGAGCCTTTTCAAGAAAATAAACCTAATAAAGAAATGAAAATATAGTATGATAAGGATGAGGTAACCACCAATATACTGCTCTTTGCTAGTTTCATTGCACATTCTTCAGTTGGCAGATCTGCTTGAGAATAACTGCTAGCGGAGAATATGGAATTTTGAGATCCAAGTGACTTTTTTTCTTTATGTATTCATGTTAGGCACTCAATACAGAAATGCAATGGTGGACAACAGCTGAATAATCTTCGCAGATTAGAGAAAGTTTTCATCCAAGAACAGTACTCACTCTGAGTTGCAAGTTCACAGTGAACCATGCAAAACCATTTACTAAGTGCCTCCTATCTACCAGGAGCACTCTGCTCAATAATAATCAAATCTCCACAGCAGAACAATTTTGTTTAAAAGAAAATAAAGTAAAACAAAAGATGTCTGCCTCACTGTGGCCCGACATGGTAACTCTGAAATGTTAAATCATCCCAATATTTGTCACTGAGATCACCCAGATTCGAGATGGTGGTAGGGTAGAAGGAGGAAGGAGATTATTTTGTTATCACAAAACTCACTCTACTATGACAGCTGACTTGGACCTGCCAGTCCATAGTACTTCTCTGCGGGACATTGAGCCTGAACAGTCAGGTCATGTTGCCACTCTCAGCTTCTAGATTGTAACCTTGAAGCAGGGACCAAGTTGTCCCCATTCCTGCCTTCCCTGCACAGCTACAAGAGGCCAGCACATTTACAGAAAGAAATGGTTTACACCTACATGGGCACTTCATCTGGTAGCCTACTTGGAATTCCTGATCATAAGAAAACTGTGGGGGAGACTTTCATTTCTTTCTCTGTAGCACTGAAGGTTACAGAACCAAAAGAAATCTTTCCCAAAGGTTTATTCCCCTTAAGGTATGCATGAAACCTATGGTCTTAAAGGGATAAGCTTTCCACACAAATGTCAAACTGGCACAAACACCCATGTGAAAATGATCTAATCTGGTACCCCCTGCTGTCCACACACTAACATATCAATATTTCTTTGTTGAAAAGGCATCAGATCATTAATTCAAAGGCTTCCCCCCAAAGGGGAGAATTGTTCCTGGCAACTGATCGAAGAAGGGAGGTGGCAGGGTCACAGTAGAGAGAGCTTAGTGGGCCTATCATTCCCTGCCTTCTGCCCCCATCAAGTCCACGCAACATCACAACAGAGGCAGCCAGAAGGGGAGCAGGTGCTGGCCCCACCAGGCACCAGGGACTGCTCCGTGCTCCAGGGCAGTTACCTGAGAGGGAGCAGCCTGTCTTCTTTCTTTCTCCCTCCCTGTTGTGTCCCTTTCCTCTGCCCTCCCCCACCAGGGTATATCAACAGATCCCAGGTGCAGAAACTCTGAGGCACAAGAACATTACACAATCAATGGTATAACTAGTGGGTGATTTTGGCTTGGTACCCTGACAGCTTTTGAGATTTGGCAGCACCTGGGGAAAAGAAACCCCCAGGTTGTCTGCCTTTAAATGCTGCCACAGATCCATCATTCAAAGAACTTGTCAGCAAAATATTTACTACTTCTTACCAACACGTGTACATTGGCACCGGACTTTAAAAACTGCCAAATGGTGAGGTATAAATTATGCCACAAGAAAGGGTTTTGTGATTAACCCCCAAATGAACTCTGCAATGCCTGCAGTGTGGGCCTTTTGAATTCTAAAATTATTACTTTTTTTTTTTTAATCTAAGAGTCTTATAAAATTCAAGCTGAGCTGTATGCTCCCCTAGAGTCTGTTCTAGCTCCAAAGCAGTTTATTGGAGAAATTATGAGAATACGAGTGAATGCTTTGAGCAGTGGCTAATCCGCTGTCTACCTCTCCGCCTAACCTCCCCCAACCACCCCCAAAACAAAACAACAGACATAAAAAAAACAGGCCAGTCTTTGAGCTCTGGGCAGCTCAGAGAGCCACATTTTAAGAAAAACAGTAATGTACTCAGCATGCAACCGCTATGGTAGAGGGTCAGAATCCAGGACAGTGAGGACCAGCAAAGGGTCTGGGGAACTTTACTTGCCTAAAAAGAACATCACCATGTAACTGAGAGCCTCAGAGTCTTCAGACCAAACTCCCCAACACTGCCCTAATCCAATGCTTGCAGTCCCCTCTCTAACACTTCTCAACGGGTCATATAATCTACACATGAACATCACCAATGACAAGGAACCCACTACCTCCACACTGACATACTGAAATTCTTCCATCTACTAGGCTAAGACCCATGTACAGGTTAACTTCTATACTAACACATCCCTTGCAGAAGCAAATCTCCCACCCAAACACCCATTTATATGTGGTAGGAGCACATGGCATATGTGACAGGAGCAGCCCTACTGTGTCCCAGACTAGACATAATTCACATAATACCTGGCTCAGCCCTCATGAACGCATCCCAGTTTGTCCATGGCCCTCAATAAATGATGCTCAGAGATTGCCTAGAATCCACAAAACCTCTAGGCTCCTGAATTCCCTTCTCTAGTGCAACAGGTTTAGAAGCTAAAGATAGTTTATTTATAAATCTCATTATTTTAGCCTACATGGATCAAAGCTGGTAAGATTTTTTTCAATCATAATTGCAAGCTTAGTGTTCTTAGACACTGAGCATCCTCTGAAGAGCTGGCTGTCACATGGAGAGGGTGTTGACCCATTCTGTGGAAGTTCTAAGATGATTCCAGCTCAACATGAGAAAAAAGTTCCTGCTAGTTGAGCTGTTCAAAAAGGGGTGAGTTGCCTTAAAGACAGACAGCAGAGTCTTATAGACAATTCCTTGAAGTTACCTCTAAAGCTGGGAGTCACAAGCCCTTGGATGTTTAGGGAATGCAGTATTAGCATTAATTGATTAACCCACTTAGTAAGCACAGGCACTGTTCTAAATGCTCACATGTTTTTATTCATTTACTGCAAAGGGAAGAACTCTGTGTCCAGGCCCTTGCAATTTGGTCAACTGGAACTCAGCAGGATGGAATTACCTACTCTGGACAAGGGCCAGGACACAAACCCCAGAAGCTACCAGATACATAATCCACAGAGTTATACAGGCCCTTGGTTTTACAACCCAATTGTAAGATGAGGCCCTGTATGGGCAGAGAGTTTCCAATCACAAGACTGGGCTGGCTGAGAAAAGCTCCCCGTACTGGATGCTGAAATAACCATTCTGGCATTCTATCCCTCAAGTCCCTTCCAGACCAGCTCAAAATCCACCTCATCCTGGAAACTGTCCTTGTATCTAGTGGCTCAGAGTATCAGCCACACACTAGGAGTGTCCTAAAAATGTGTGGCATTGGTTAAGTCCCACCCAATCTATCTGGTTTCCACATACATAGCAAGAAGCACCTGCTTATTACAAATAATAAGATCTAATCAAGTGAATTATGTATCTGTAGAACTGATGTCCACTTCCTCATCCCTCTGTTGAGCAAGGTAGTTAACTTTCACAAAATTCAGTAAATAAAGAACAACATAGAATTGGGGGGAGGCAGGGAGGTAGGGCATGATATTCAGGCTCAAACTGATCTATACTCCAAACCTGGCTCACACACTAGCCATGCACTCCAGAATGAAGTAGTTAATCTCTCAGAATCTCAGATTTTATTTGAAAAATGGAGATAATAAATACAATCCCAACACAGGAAAATCATTAAGGAGTGGAGGGACTCTATCTGACGGGATTGTTGCAAAGATGTAAAGATAATGAGTGAAGGTGCTCTGTCATCTATAAAACCATGACCAGATGTTCATTTGCTTTCAAGTCCATTATCTATAGACAGTGGTGTGTGCCTTGTAGTGCCCAAATACCTACTGATAATGGGTTGGTGAAGAAATGAAGGTGCTCTCCTAATGGTTCCCTTTGGGAAATAAAGTTACAAAGGATCTTTAGATGACTAAATAAAAAATTTATATTTGTAACAAACCCCTCTATTTATAATACTTATATAAACCTACACTTACATTCACAGGTTCAATAATTTTCATATTTTGGGGGGAAGTTTGGTTCAAGGGAACAATCCCAGACCTAAATGAATGCCAAAAAGGAAAGAGAGAAGGGAACTCTTGTCGCTGAAAATCTACTGTATATCATGTAGACCCTACATGCCTCAGTTTCCATCATTAACACTTTTGTAGAAGTTCCTTTTTTTTCTGAAACTCTTCCTAGCCACACCATAATAAACTCCAAAAAGAACTGTTAACAGGGACCTGCTAACTGCCCAACAGCCACACTTCCTAAATGGATCATTATTTTACAACTACCCACTGGCACTCTAAAAGAGCAACATGAGTACAACGGAATGACATCATATGTATATTTGACCAACCCAGATTTTAACTAAAGAGCTGAGAACAGAAGGGGGTGAGGGAGTCAAATACAGGTGCTTCTGACACCAACTCTATTCACGGAAAGTATGAACAAAGGATATGACCTAGGACCCAGGAATCTGCTGTTCCATCTTAATTCCTGTGGATCCCTCATAATGCAAGCATCTCACCCACTTGTGGGTGATTTAAGAGCTGTTAAATAAAAGGGTTAGTTTTAACTAACTCTCATGATTCATAAAATGCCACTGAACATGAAGGTCACACAAAAAAATCATATGCTTTGTCTTAGCTAATGTCTTAACACTCTCTGAGGCAAAAGGAAAGGAGTAGTTAGGACTCTGTCTCTACGTGAGTAACCCAGGACCATGTGGTACTTGTAGCCCCTGAGTGCCTCAGTTTCCATCATTAACACTGAAGGAGGTCAACTTAGTCATTCATCACCTTGTGGTTCCATAGACTCAACTAATAGAATTCAGTATGTTGGCTTATTATTGCCCCCTCCCATTTACATTCCAGTGTCCCTGAGGGCAGGGACTGTTCAAATCACCACAGTATCCACAATGCTAGCACAGCACCTGGCATAATAAATATTCCAAAAAAAGAAAGAAGGTACAAACCAACAACCAGATGACACGAACATTCTTTGGCAACATGACTAAACTTATCATCAAGCTTCACCCT